GTCCTATGCCTGAAAGTTCAGAGGAATTTTCTGAGGACTTACTAGAAAAGGATCAAAGATTTTCTGTTTATTGAAGCCTACAGATGGTGCTCCCAGTCCTAGTGCAATATTAACGGTCAGCAATATAGGCTCCCAGCAACACAGGCACACCTTTGTTGTGTGTCTGACAACAGAAGTTAAAGCTGTTCCTCCCTGGCTCTGATAGACGGGGTTGCATTTCATTATTGCACAGCAGAAGTAGTCAATTTAGCTAACCTCCATCCAATCCTAAACATTCACTGACCATTTTGGTTCTCCAGATGACAAGATCTGTAGCTGTCCCAGCACAGAACTGGAATCTTCCTACCCAGAATAAGTTGTGTTGTCATACTAAAGATACTTGTCCTACAAGAGCATTGTACCTTCTAAAGGAGGCAGAGAACCTGTCAATAATCACGTATTTATGCCACAAACACCGTGTTGCCAAATATTACCATTTTATCATGAGACTTATGCTATTTAATGAATTACTTAAAGTTCCAGTATGCTGAGTCTTGAGATTGCAGGTAAACTGCAGATTTCATTAAAGGAAAGGGGAAAAAAAATGTGCTCCAAAGTCTGGAAAAAAGTTTGGAGGTAGGCACAGAGTATAGCCTAAATCTAGAAATTAGAAAGCATACTGATATTACTTGACATTTTAAGTCTCTTGAGAATACAAGAGGTTTTTTCATTACTGATTTTACCAGGACCTAGATTTTTCTCATCTCTTTTCGTTCTTATGCAATTGCTAAAAAAATTAAGTGTTTTTTTTTTTTTTTGAAAGAAATATGAAATCTAGCATTGAACAGCACAAATGCAGAATCAAAATGACATTTGGCACAGAGTCAGCCTTGCTATCTTCCTGAAAAATACAAGCCTTTGGCATTGCAGAGGTTTGTTATGGAGAGTTTACTATCACAAGCAGCAGCAGTAGCGCATTTTGAATTTAGGTCAACACATATTTGTCTAAGTGCTTAACTATTGCATGAATACTACCCTAAAACAATTCATCCTGTGTCTCATCATTTACTACAGTACTCCTCTGCAGTACTAGTCATGGATGATTTTGAGCTGGATTTTGTGCTAAGAAGTTTCTTCTTCTGTAATAAACTGCTATCCTGAAATATATCCTATTTGTCATGATTCTTAAACTGTAGTTTCTTAAATTGAGAGATTTGATTCAGAAAATCCTACTATCTTCTTGTGATTCTCTTTTAATTCAGTTTGAAAGTGATGGAAATCCAGTATGATCACATTAGGCTAAAGCATGACTTGGCTTAGTTTGCTATAAAAGGGAGTAAAATTGTTTTTCCACATAGGGACCAGTAACTTCCTGTTTGTTGAAGGAAAAAAAAGTGTGTTTACTTGTTATCATAGAAGTCGATTCCCAGGGACTGAAAAATACCTCGACTATGCCTGAGAACATGGCAAAGATAAAATAGCTTACACCACAGCAAATTTGCTCCTGAGAAAAGTGAGCAGTATTTTATTTTTCACCTATGAATAAATGGGAGCATGATATTCTTCTTCAGAAGATGTTTCCTCATTATCAATAAAAAAAAAAAAAACAGAGCCAAAGATTTTCTGCTATAAACTTCTTTATCTTAAGAGAACTATTAAACTTTAATATCAAACTAGAACATTTAAAACCAAAATAGTATTAATCATAAAAACTGGATTTTTAAAAGGAAATATTGAGATTTCTGCCAAAGCACTTTTAATCAGTTATCATATTAACATCAAAGGTAAATGCATTTGACTCCCCACTTCTGTGAGCTATTTCATGGGTTAGTCAGCGTTAATGTTGTTAATCACATGGAGATGTATTTTTACTTGTGGTCAATAAGCACTGTGATATCTGTTGAAGGAGTCTGTACCCACATTATCTAGCATGGGAGGAAACTGCACAGTGCTTCAGGGCCGAAATTATGAAGGGAGTAACAGTTCTGATTTGACCAAAGTAAGCTTGTATTAAAACCCTTCTAACCAGCATTTAACTGTTTTCTCTTTAAAGGGTGGAATTTTCTTATATGAGAATGTTGCTAACAAAAGCAAAATCTTGACGCATTTACAGTGGAAATGTTGTTGCCATATGCATGATAAATTCTTGACCAGTGCTAATCATACAGACATACTTAAAAAAACCCAGTCCCACAGGGAATTTGTTCTCCCCCAGAGAACACACATGGGCATGCAAGTAGAAGAATGGAGAGCCCACACAATTTGGAATGTGGGCACTTAAGAGAAACAACTTTTGGGCAGGTATTTTCCACTTGTCAGAACAAATTGGTAATTAATTACAAACCAATTTCATTAGGATCATCTTTTCAGTAGTTTTCAGGGTTGGGTGGTTTCCAGGGCTGAGAGACTCAGAGAATATTTTAATAGAGACAGCAGCTGTTGATGCAGCCTGGTTGTTCTTTGCCATTCATCTTGGCTCACAAGAAGACCGGATGATGCTAATGCTTAGCATTCACAAAGGTTAACAAGTTCTATGCGATATTCTTACTAAGTAGGAAGTTAATATTCACACTTTACATATAAGAAAACTTAAGCAGATGTGTGTTATCACAAGACCTTGCTACCCTCTGTGTGAGTCAAGGACAGAGACTGATGTAATGTCCATAGACTGTGGAGGAAGGACAGAAGTGGAACCACTCTTCTGACCAAATGCTACCTTCACAGGCTGGTGGATGTGCCCTGTCAGCCTCACATCCTCAGTGCACTTGTACCTCCTGCACACAGAATAGCTGTGTGCCCAGCGCAGGGAACGGTATATGCACCAAGGGAAGCATATGGTTAGTTTCTTTGTTTGTTTGTTTTCTGGGTAAGCACAGCCATGGGTAGATTCCTCCACAGTGCGGATCTGGGACAAACTTGAGGGGCTGGCTTTTGTCTATGGATTTACAGGCTCATCAATCACCTTACATACCACCACCCTGGGAATCCCACACATAATTGATATTGAGAAAGGTTACATACTCACAGGAGACTGAGGGAGAAAAGATAAAAATCAGCTTGGTACTTAAATAGAGAAAGAAAAAAAAATTAGAAAAAAATTAGGCTTTTGGTAATAAGCTACAGTTAGATGTAGAATATTTGCCAGGTAAAGATAGAAAAAGTAGGTAATCCTGAATTTCAGTATTTTGGATAAAGAAGGGGGAAAGGCTATGTTTAAGGCACAGTATGAAGCTCCATTAGTCTATGATGAAGAAAAATGAAGGAAAGGCTTACACACTGAATCTCTGATTTAAGGGACCTCTTTCTCACAGAGTGTGAGATACTTCTTTTCAGTGAGGCAGGTCACTCAATAGCGTGGGTTTACTCTGCAGCCTTACTGGGGTTGCTAGCCAGCTCAAGGATAGAGAAGTGAAATATTTATGTACAGTCAGAGGCTTGTCTTCACATGGCCTTGTCTGGACGGGCACGGTTTTGTCTTCCTCTGCCCCTAGTGCGGCAGCGTGCTAAAGGTAACATGATCAGTGCTGGTGGCTTGTCCAGGTGATGGTCTCTTTGAGGGAGTGCCTCAGCCTGGGGGGAGCTGTCTTTAATGCATCCCAGCCTGGGGGGTGATGCCTTTAGTTCATCTTGGCCTGGGGAAAGCTGCCTTTAACCTGCAGTATGGATGTGCCTCCCACTGACTGGTTTTGGATCCCTTGTGCTAGATGAGGCTGTGCCCCAACCTGCTCTCCATGAAGGAGTGGAGCCAGGTGTGGGGTTGAGGGATGGTGCACCACTGCGCGTGGGGTTAAAGCATTGCACTTGTTCTGTGCAGACTCAGAGAGAGACTTTATTGAAGGAGAGGAGGATGACAAGGAGTTAGTTCTACCTGGAGAAAAGGTACCACAAAGAGGCCCTGCTGGCAAGTGGAACTGGGCAGCACGGAACGAGCAGGAACAGGAAGTGGCACAGTGACAGTAAGCATGTGTCCATGCAAGGCAGTTGTAGGGGACCACTCATGCCCCTTCCCCTTGCCACTCGAGCTGCTCCTCTCAGTGCTGTGAACCCCGGATACCTGGACATTGATGTCCCTTCCCCAAGCAGTAGCCGCATGTGGGTTCTCCTGGGAGAACACTGCCGTGGTTGTCAGGAAATCTTGGTGCAGAACACTGGCTGCTGTCAAAGAATCACAGATTCAATTAGACTGGAAAAGACCACTGAGATCACTGAGTCCAACCTTTGGCCGAACACTATCGTGGCAACTAGAGCATGGCACTTCGTGCCATGTCCAATCTTTCTTTAAACACTTCCAGGGATGGTGACTCCACCACCTCCCTGGGCAGTTCACTCCAATGTCTAGTCACCCTTTCTGTGAAGAAATTCTTACCTAAACCTCCCCTGCCACAGCTTAAGACTGTGTCCTCTTGTCCTGTCACTTTTTACCCAGGAGAAGAGATCAAACCCACCTGGCTACAACCTCCTTTCAGGTAGTTGCAGACAGTGGTAAAATCCTCCCTGAGCCTCCTTACAAGACTTGTCCTCCAGACCCTTCCCCAGCTCCGCTGCCCTTCTCTGATCATACTTTAGCACCTCAATGTCTTTCTTGCACTGAGAGGCCCAGAGCTGGACACAGCACTCGAGGTGTGGCCTCACCAGTGCCGAGTACAGGGGGACAATCACTTCCCTAGTCCTGCTGGCCACACTACTGCTGATACAAGCCACCGTGACACTGGCCTTCTTGGCCACCTGGGCACACTGCTGGCTCATGTTCAGCCCCTGTCAACCAGCAGCCCCAAGTCGTTTTACTGCGGGCAACTTTCCAGATACTTTTCCCGCAGCCCGCAGCGCTGCGTGTGACCCAAGCGCAGGACTCCGCACTTGGTGTTATTAAACCTCAAAGTTCGACTTCCCTGACCTATAACAAGAGGGACGGAAGTTTACAATCGCTAAGTGCCCCCCGCGGCCCCGCCGCCCCACTGCCGGTGCGGACCCGCCCGCCCGGGGCGGTGCCATGACGGCGCTGGGGGCGGTGCTGGCCGGGCCGCCCGCCCCGACATGGCCGCCTCCAGCCAGGTAACGCGCACGCGAGGTCGGGGCCGCCGCGCCCGGCCCCGGCTGGGGACGGCGAGCAGCGAGCACCCCCTCTGCCGCGGGCTCCCCTGCCCTCCCCGCCGTGCCGCCCTGTGAAGGGAGCCGAGCCCGCGGCAGCCCGGCCCCGTCTGGACCAGGTGGTGCAAGGGGGATAAGGCCAAGTCAGCGCCCGCGTCTGCCTTACAGCTTTTACAGCCCCACCCCGTGTTTACTTAGGGGTGCACGGACACTGCTGTGAGGGTGCTGAGGCACTGGAACAGGTTGCCCGGAGAAGCTGTGAGCGCCCCATCCCTGGAAGTGTTCAAGGCCAGGTTGGATAAGGCCTTGAACAGCCTGGTCTAGTGGGAGGTGCCCCTGCCCATGGCAAGGGGGTGTTGGGACTAGATGATCTCTAAGGCCCCTTCCAAGCCCGTAACATTCTGTGAGTCTGTGACACGTTCCTCTGGTTATTCCGGTTATCGTTGTTGTTCGTACGAGTGCCCAGCGCCCGCGGGTTTGCGGGGTGTCGGTGGGAGGTCTGTGTGCCGGCTGTCCCTGGCACAGGCGGGGTGGGAGAAGCCGCGGGGATGTGCTGGCGCCTTTAGGAGCATTTGGCCAATGCTGGGGCTCTTAAATCTCCCCATCAGGACTGCTGAATTTCGTTGTCTTCCCGTCCGTCCCCGCCCCACTAATTTTGATGTCTGTGTGTATGCAGCATCCGTATACGTTTATGTTGACGTCTCCGCGGCACAAAAACAAGCCAAAACTGAGTAATAGAGCCAATCTTATCCCTGATCCTGGCGCTCCCTCTGCCGACGGCTGCCGCTCAGCTCCTCCCAGTCATCTGCGTTTCCATTTTTCAGAAGCGGCCTCTACAGCAGATAAAGTTCCCGCACTACATTAAAGCTTTACGTTAACCTTTGCAGTAGTTTCAGGCCATCTGTGTGACCTTCTGTAACCTGAGCTCTCATTCCAAGGGGAAACTCTTTCAGTGTATTTTTAGGAGCTACTTTTTAAAAATACTTGTGAAAGGTGATGAGTAATACGTCCAGCAGTGCATTATCCCTTTTTCTTTTGTAGTTATATTGGCCTTTGTAAAACGGGTGTGAGATCCTACCAAATGAAGTTTTCCACTTCCATGCAGTGGAGGGTGATTCCTTTACTCGGAAATCAGGGCAGACTGTTGGTTTCTGTGCCTGCAGAATTGAGCCTCGGGTAATGATGCAACAGACAAGGCAGAGAATTTAGACTCAGTTCAGAGACCAAGCTGAAGCTGTCTGAGAAGCTTCTGCTGTCTCAGCCATGCAGGTAGTACTGTTTGAGATGCCTTCAGGGGCTGGAGGCAATACTGGCAAGCATGACACAGCACGTCAAGAAGGTCTTTGGCTTCTTGAGTAGCAGCTGAAAGGTCAGGCATTGTGGAGCAGGGCATCTCTGCCAGTTTTACATGCTGTTTAGACAGCTGAATCACATCTCATCTGTCCCTTGTTCCATTATTTAGTTCAGAGGTTATGAAAGGACAGGAAGTAGTCTTTCAGCTTCAGTTTTTGTGCTAGTTTGTTAAATACTGACTTCTCTCCTTTTGCGTGGAGAATGTGGGAGTTTGAGGACTTGACTAAAGGCCTGACTAAACTCAGAACTGCTTCCCCCAGAGATCAGATAAAGTTTTCTAGTACACAGAGGTGTAGATGTTATGAGAGAGACCTGAGCCTTTCAGTTTGAAATCCTTTTGTTCTGGCTGAGTCTGTTCTGCAGGAGCTGCGTGACAGCTGGTCTGGGTGATGGCTGATATGCGTGCACAGCTGGTATGCATGACTGACTGGAATGGGTGATGTGGATAGTCTCCTCCATGCTTTTCCATCTGAACCAAATTTACCTGGTTCCAAAGCATTAACCTGTACCGTATTTCTTCTTTCTTTCTCTAGCTCCTCCTCACCAAGTCAAAGATGTGTCTCTCCTCTGCTTTCCTGTAAAGTAGTTTGAGACTGCATGACCCCCTCCCCAGAAAACCCTGCACATGGGCAGTCTATAAAGCTGTTCGCCTCTGTGCACCTGTGTATGGCAAGGAAAGTTGGGCAGGCCAAGCCTTTTGGACCAAATTGTGTAGATGGTGGTGCTTACCTATGTGGTTTAGTGGTGGACTTGGCAGTCCTAGTTTAATGGTTGGGCACGATCTTACAGGTCTTTTCCAGCCTAAATGATTCTATGAAATCTTATAATTGGACAGCTTGGTAGGCTTGCTGAATGACCCTGCAGATCAGATGAATCCCAATAAGGGTAACTCATTACATGCACTTAGAGAAATGAACTTGATGTAAACTTTTTGGGCTTCTTTCCATGAAACTTTTATTTTTCCCCTCTCAGGTACCTTGGCTTTTATGTATGTTAATGTTGTGGGGGTTTGTTTGGTTTGGTTTGGTTTGGGTCTGTTTGTTTGTGGTTTTGTTTGTTTATTTTTGGTTTGTGTGTGTGTCTCCCTGTACCTTTTTTGGTGTGAGGAAGTTTGAGATTTCTTGATCATTATTTAACTAATGAAGGTTAAGAGGACCATTTCTCTCTATATCTTTAACCCTGTTTGTCAATTAAGTGAAGAATCCCTCAGAGAACTGTTGTGAGTTACTTGTCTTTAGAAGCAAGCTTGTGTTTTTCAAAAAATGAGCTGTGGCCTATGTGCAGGTCTGCCATCGAGAAGGGAAAATAATTATTTAAGAAAATACTAAGAGATTTGGGAAGGGAAGGGGAAAAAATCAGTATAAAATGAACGAAAAGCCCTTAGTGAGTATTGTTGCTTTGAAGGGAAATGGGAGACATTTGCTATGAAATCTGTAATAAAAATAATTTTACAGAAATGAAGATTGATTCTATAACCATTGATCTTTTCAGCCTCTACACTTCCTATTTCTGAAGTCACATGAAATAATGATTTTGGTAGCTTCCTCCTTTTCCTGAAATCTGCCCTGTGTGAGTTTTGTCACTTGTGAGATTTTTCTTCTCATACATTTTGCCTCCGTTGCATGTTAACATGGCTGTGCTTGAATTCAGTCTGAGTGAGAGAGCCTAGGAACTGTCAAGTGTCTAACAGTGGTAGGATGGATCTTGGTGCTGAGTAGTTTACTAGTTTATTTTTGTCAGACTCTGATGTAAATGTGATCTTTATGTGGTCAAATATGTGCGAAAACTTTAACAATGCCAGGAGGTCAGGGTTCAAACTTGTTATGGCCATGCATGTGCTGTCTCAAACTTGACAGCAGGCCTCTGAAACCATATCAGGATAGAACTGTTGGAGCCTACCATGCCAGTAGCTTGATAGTACTTTAATTCATTCGAGACCACTGTAATATTGGGTTTGGGAGTGGAAGAAGAAGGGTAGGAGGAGGAATCCACAAATGGAAAGGAGTGGCAAAAGACTGAGTCTTCTTTGGCAGCATTTATTCTGCTCCATTTTGGTGGATTAGAATCTGTTATTTCCACAGAGTGCTTTTGTCATTCTGATTCCCTTAAAGATTTCTCTCTTTCAGTGCAGTTAATAGTTGTGCAGGTTGATGATGGTAATGCTGCAGCAATCACAGGGAATACATACTCATAACTCCAATGCAACACTTTAATGTTTTATAACAATTTTACTAGCATATTAGTGTTTGTTTAAAAGAAAAATTTTGCTAACTCGTTCAATACAAAATTGCACCAAATACTAATATGATTTTTTTTTTTTACCTTTGCCACCATTTTATAGTGGTACATCATCATATTATTATGATTATATCTGCAGTTTAGGTATTGGGAAGCAGCTCTGCAGTCTTGAAATCTAGAAGGCATGCAAGTGGATGAGGGACTGTTGGAGCAGTTGACACAGTTAAATAAGTATATATATACAAGTGATTGACCTAGTTTTGTTTTTTTCCTGTAAAATACCATAACAAAAATATTTTTTGAGATGAAGAGGAGACGAGGTGAAAGGATTGTTTTCAGATCAATGGTAATGAAAGAAGGGAAAAGTACAGACAACTGCAGTTGGCTTGTGCAGCTGTACTGTTAGGAGGATTTTTGGTAAAGCAGAGAAGAAACTGCTAAAACATGGGTAAAGGATTATGCTATAGGAAGAGATAGAGGCAAAGTCAAACTACATCAATGTTTGGGAGCTTTGTTATATTACATGAGGACTCTTCCCTTGGATTTGAAAGAAGTAGGAAGGGAGAAAGAGAAAGAATGCAGGCTCAGAGAGATGTAGGATGTATGATCTCAATATAGCAGTAGACCAAAAGTGGCAAAAGATGCAATAAAATCTGGAGAAGGCCAATGACCCTTAAGTAACTCTCTGCTTGGTAAATACTGTGTTGCTGTGAAATGCAATAGCTAACATATATATGTAGACAGTTTTCTGTTCCTTCTCATGACAGGAATGTATTTTGCATTAAGTTTGGCCTTGGGAGATGCACTAAATGAAGTTTGGAACATCCTGGTTGCTTGTTCTTGGACATCTAAGTATTGAACACATTTTTCTCTCAAAAAAAAAAAAAAAAAAAAAGTTTGGCAAAATGTCATACTTGGTTGCAATTAGGAAACAGGACCCAAATGAACAGTTCATCTCCAACTCAAGCATTTAGTGAGGCCTGAGAATAACTTAGAAGCTGTGATGATACAAATGTCATGGCAGTTTCACACATATCTTTTTTCTCACATTATGCTCTGGAGAGACTGTAGAGAGAAGAAAATTAGCTGAAACTACTGTGTGAGAACAGGAGAGGCAGACAGGTTTAAAACCCACAAATGGGTGTAGTGATACTGTGAATAAAGGAGTGAAGAGGAAGAGGAAAATTGGAAAATGAAATCAAGGATCATGAGAATCTTTAATTTTGGGAGAGATCCTCTTAATAAAATAGAGTTTAATAGCAGAACTTCAGAGATGGGGAAAACTCTGCAATTGACTGAGGAAGAACGTACTTTGCAGATTTGGTTTTATCAGCCCCAAATAATTCATAAAATCTGGAATTATCTAAATTTGTAATACTGTCTTAGAGATGACAATAGAGACTCTAGAGCACACTGAAGTACTTAATTTTTCAAGCAGGACACTTACTATGTCTTGTTACTTCTGCTTTCCAGATCACCAGCGTGGAAGCTAAAAGTAATGGAGATCATTTGAAAGTCCATAAAATGAAGAAGAAGGTATTGAGGAAGCAGATCAGAGCTCAGCATACATTGATGAGACATGAAGGCATTGAGTGCATCTCCCGTGCCACACAGGTGACTGGTAGCTGTGATTTTGGTGGTTGTGCAAAAATGCTGCTTATCTGTGTTCTGTTCTTATGTATGCCTTGTTTAAAATGCTGTTCTCCAAAATGCACTTCCTGAGACTGAGGGTTTTCTCTGCATCTTTGATTTCAAAGCAGAACTGTACTTCAGCAGTTCAGTGTCTGTGGAGAGACTTCGATGGCCTTTGGATAAGGGTTTTTTTAACCTGAAACAGTAGTTCCTTGGGTTGAGGAGGAAGCATGGAAATGCTACTGAAGTAGATAAACTTTTCCTCTCTTTCTCTGTGATTTCTTTTTTTCCCGGGCTTTTAACTTGTATATCTTTCTTGTCTCTGTACTTTTTTTTTTTATCAAGTGTAATTTGTCTCATCTAAACTCCCCATTAAAAATATGTCTATTTTGGAAATATTTTCCACTTTGTCTTCTTCACCTAGGTAAATTAAGGCTGTGATTCTGTGAGATTTGAACTGGTTGACTGACTTGCAGCTGTTGAAATGGGGACATCTTTCTCTTTCCTTGCACAAAAGGGAACAAGATAGGAGGCAATTCTGCTTTCTTGTGATGCTTAATGAACTTTATCATAAGCCACTTTATTCTGTAACCTAACAGAAAACTATTCAGCTTTTTGATTTGTAGTTTTCTCCCACAGTAGTTACAGCAGATCAAGTGACCTCACAGATGTAGCAAAAGGTGACGGAAACTCGCAGACAGAGAGGGAAGAAGTTAGAAAGTTTCTAATTTCCCTCTGTTATTTGTGAAGGGATACTAATATCATTTACTCTATCCTAGCTCATCCTGATCCTGCAAATTCTTCCCATTCAAATGTGGAAACATCAGTTAGATCTTTATACAATTTTGTAACAAAGTGTGATTTAGTCTTTACTCGGATTTCACACCACATGAACAGATGTCAAAATGACTCAGCAATCTTGTATGTATTGTAAACTTTTTGGAAGAAAGACTTTGTTTTTCTAGTGTTGCTTGGAAATGGGTCTGTAATTTGGGACTTATTCCCTTTCAAACTGTTCAAGGTACCAAATTATCCATCTAATCTATCAAGAGAGTAGTTTTGTGGTCCAGCAAGATCCTTACTGGTGACAGAACATTTGAATAAGTGATATCTGAAACAATATCATAGTGCTAGTGGTAAATCTGTGTCAAGAATACAGAAAATGCTTTCAGGCTTTGTGCAAAATTCTGATTATCTCCAAATTGCTCACTCAGAAGAACATCATCAGTTGCTGCATGTGCTGCAGCAGTTGCATAGTAGAGGTCTTTGTAGTTGAAGTGAAAGCACTGGTTTGAGCCTCTGCATGTCCTTCACATACATAAGCCTCTCCATTAATAACATTCTAGAAAAGAGCAATAATTAATAATGAGGTAAACTTTGGAAAAGGTAATCAGTAATGGACAGCCTGATGCAGTGCTTGGAACAGATGTTAAGAGAACCACTGCAGTAGGCAATACAGCAGCACTCACTGTATAACTTTTTTTTTTTGCATAATCCTTCTCTTCAGTGCTAAACCTCATTTTCTGTTTTTTTAGAGAAGTGAAATGCTGTCATTTGAAACAATTGAACACTTTCCCGTCTACCTTCAGAAAAGGTCATAGAACATTTATAGACTTTTAAGGAAAAGATTGTTTGAAATCTTTCTGATAAGGTATTACATGGAGTTTAGTCTGAGCAAATTGTTGCTGGCAGTTTGTAGTCACACTTATCCTTGAAAAGGGTCTTGAACTTCTTTCAACCACTATGATTGGGTTGAGGATCCAGTTATATAGCTATTCAGATGTCAAAAGAACTTGTTATTTGTTTTGAAAAGGCCTATGTATTTTCAAAAGATATTTCTTGAATAATAGTGCTATTTTGTTGTTTCTTCTAATATTTGGCAAGCCAGCAACAGTCCTCACAAACTGCGTGCTCCTTGATAGCTTTGGACATAAATTAATATGAAAGCATAGAATTAAGCAATTAGGCAGTATGCATTAAGTAGCCTATGTTAACTAAGGATAGGACATAAATCCCTTTTGTTTATAAAACAAGAGAGAAAATTTTCAGATAGAAGTGCTGGAGCAGAACTAGATGCTGTGTTTTTAGAGGTTGCTGCTTGTTTTTGGTGAACCTGATGTATGGAAGACTTATGGTGGGACTGGGAATATCGACTTCTATGCTTGGAGACACCTCTTGGCAAAGATGAGAAAACCTGTCTTAAAAAAAGGAATCAGTCTTTAAAGGGTTTTCTGTTTGTTTTTGTTAGCAATAACAGATCTCCGGAAAAATTGTGTTTTAAAAACCTCCAAAGTTATGTGTGCCAGCGTTGCTGTTTGCCTGCGGTACTTTGACGCATATGTGCTGATTCAAAGTATATATTAACTGAGGAGGTATTTCTGATAAAACTTGCAAACCTTTCTGCCAGAATGTGTGCTAGGTGAGCAGAGCTTGCCTGAGCCACATACCAAGCGCATGGAAATGTAAATATCCCATGTGGACTACAAAAAAGAGTGATCATGGGCTTAATTTTTCTTTATAATGCTGCTCTCTTTGTAGAGTGTTAGTTTTAAAGGAACCAAGAGTAATCACTAATTCTTATTTTTTAAAAAATTCCTTTTCAATTAGAACCTGGTTATTGCCAATGCTGGTCTTGGTAATGGGATGAGGAGACACCAACTGCTCAGGATACTAGAAGAATATGGAGAAGTGGAAACGCTCTTAATGCCACCAAATAAACCGTATTCTTTTGTGAAATATGAGACAGCAGAAGAAGCCAAGAAAGCCTTTGATGGCCTTAATGGAAAAGAAGTAACATTGGAAGACTGTGGCCAAAACATTGTTCTATATATTAATTTTGTGGAAAAAGGTATAGTTTTTTTTGCTCTCCTATATATCCAGTTTCCTGTGTATTACTTCCTGTTGCATTTACTTCCTGGGTTGTAAGTTTTTGTAAGTGGACACAGAGAACGAAAGCTAGAGTCTAAGATTTAGGACATAAAATTATCTTTGCTCCTTGTATTTCATGATAGGATACTATAATTTCAACTCTTTTACTTGGAGGCAAAAAAAAAAGGTTATTTAATTAGTTTCCTGACCATTCAATACTGCGTGTGAATGTTTTGTGGTTAAGGAGCCTGGAGATCTCTGGACAGCTCATTGGATTTCTTGCATGATCTTAATCTTGCAATCTTTCTCTCAATTCCAGGAAGAAAAATATGCACAATAAATGCGATGGCTTTTTTTTCCCTTTCCCCAAGTTGTGGGGATTTTTTTTTGCTGATTATAAGCTATTTACTATAAGAACTGTTGCACTTTCTATGAGCTTTTATAATGTCTAGGGAAAAGGGTTCCTGGTGGAACATTCTGGCAGCAAATAGCTTTTTTAGCTATTAGGATAGCAAACTGAATGTCCCTACATCATCAGCGCTTGTGCTCGCCTAGGGATTGCAATGTACTACTCAGTATTTGTGCATATTTGATTACAGAGTATTCTCTGTCTAGAGAAGCAATCTGATGATATGCTACATCACTGAAGTTCTACAGAATTAAAATGAAATTCAGGTAGAACCTTGAAGTGACTGGGAAATTCTGTTTACCATTATTTTGACAGGAAAATCACAAGTGGTTTTGTGTTTGAGTAGTGTGGAGTCTTGTTGGTCTTTTGCAGTAAAATTTTTAGGAAGTGCTTTGCATGATGCAAAACTTGAGCCTTATCCTGTTTTATCATGACAGAAAGGGATCATTCATTTACCAAATAAGACCACAATGAGGGCTATGTTGTATCGTTAAAGTAAATGTTTCTACAGCTGTATTATATTCTCATACAAAATAAATATCCCTGTAGGGAACACATGATTTTATTTTCTCTAAACAATGACAGTATTCTCCTTTTTTTTCCTGCACCCTAGTTTCCTTGCAAAATGCTGTTCCTACAAGCTTACCTCCAGGATTAACAGTAATTGAAAAGATTATTTCTCCAGAGGAGGAAAGGAGGATGTTGGAAAGTATTGAGTGGATAGAAGATGAAGATACTCAAAGTGGTGGGTACAACTATAGAAATCCAGACCTTCTGTACTTTTATGCTGTTTTTTCCTGCGGTTTCAGTTTACAAGAAGTCTGCATCTTGGTAAATGTGTTGTCTGAAATGATTGCGTATTTGTTCTTAGTATTTTAGAAACTGGGACTTTAAGTGATAGACTCCTGGGGGCAAGTGGTCTGAATTGATATTTTAGAATGGATTTACTTGATTAACATACCTGTATCCCAAACCAACTAAAGTCTTTTTTATGTGACTTGTGCCAAGCATAAGACAGTTCTGTGGAGGCTCCCCTTGTAATTTGATGTCCAACTGCGGAGCTGTGTCTTCTTTTAAATAAAAAAATAATTCAGTGAGACACATTCTGAATCCCTTTTTTACTTTTACTTGAGTTCTGTGGAGTTAAATCCCTTAATAAATGAATTCTTGGCATTTGCTTCAAAGTTTCTGGCTAAATTTTCTTCCTTGGAGCAATGCAAGGGGTTATGCTGACCTTAGCTAACATGTAAAGTGGTGATTGATGAATATGAAGGGTCTTGATCTTGTATGAATATCCGTAGGATATTGTTTTAACTGCTAATTGAAGAACATTTACGCTTAACAGGTCAAATGGAATAGGGAAGCATAGCAAATTGCCTGTACTGTTTTCTGTGGCCTAATTTTACTTTAAACTTGCTTGTTTTTACAGCCCAGAAGAACTTAAAGCATAGAAGAGTAAAACATTTTGGATATGAGTTTCGCTATGATAACAACAATGTTGATAAAGACAAACCTTTACCTGAAGGTGAGAACTTCCCTAATAAATCATACTTATTTTGCACTGATATTTGAACCATTATGTAAAACCTTTAAACCTCACTGAGATACGTATGTGAGATTCTGGTTGGAGAACTTTCTCTGTATCTTAAATATGCACCAAACAGTGCTTTTGAATGAGATCCATTCCAAATTATTGCGAGTGCTTTAAGCTTGGAGCCAGAGGTTGCTGCCCTTTGTTGAGGTCCAGTCAAGTAAGGCTTTTAGGATTGTAATTGTCATTCTTTTTTGTTTCATAAAACAATTATGTGTTACAAATTGCATATTAATTTGTTTGGGGGATGTGACGTATGTTGCTGAGTATATGTATCTCGATTAGCTTGAAGCTTGCTGCATGCACACCAAAATAAAATTTCCTTTGGACTGAAAGCTGTTTTGAAAAGGTTTTAATAACTCTTGTTTGGAGTTGAAAGCTGTGAGTCAGAGCAAAGCAAGTGAGTCATCTTATAGTCTTAGATTTAAAAATAGTAAAATAGGGGAGTTAAATTCCTGTAAAATTTGAAGGTGTTTAAGGTGATGCATGTGTATTGGGATGGATGCAGCATCCAGCTGAAGGATTCTGATTATGTTGAGGTTTTAACAGTGAAGCTATACCATCATAAAAGCATTGATATTTGAATTGTTTTCTAGTCTCACAGGTGGACCATTTTATGTGTGAGAAAAGCATACACACTTCTTGCAGGAAAACAACTATAATTAAAAATCATTAGATTCATGGAAGGGCTATTAGTAACATTTGTGGGTGTTACCTGCAACAGAATTTTTCAATTAAGTCCTTGGGTAAAATAGTAAACCAAAGGTTCACTGAAGGACTATAGCTTTCCTTCCTGTTTCAAGACCAGCTTATCTTGAGCAGAAGTTTTTGTTCATATTTAATCTAATTCAGGAAGAAATTTTCAGGGAGTAATTTTTTTAGAGCTCTTTGCACAACTTCTGACTCTCTGCATAATAATTTTCCTTCTTGACTGGAAATTCTTTAACTGGTGAAAACTTTACCTCTGATTTGATGCGCTTTTATTTATGTGTAGAGATACTGCAGTTTGCATTTGTAAGGAGTCTTGGAGAAGTGACCTTTCTAATTTTTAGATCTTATAAATATTTTGGACTTGGACATGAGGCCCCCAATTCTGACGTGTGTGTTAGTAATCATTATTCAAGATGGACTTGCATGTATATAAAGGTGTTCTTGTGTACTTTTCCAGTTGTATTTGTTGTAAAAAGAAAGGATAAAAATGTAAAAAGCTGTCCTGTTTTGCTTACAGTTCTGTTTCTATAACCAGGTCTTCCTGAAATTTGCAACCTGTTCTTGGAGAAGTGCTTAAAGCAGGGATACATCAAACATCAACCTGATCAACTGACTGTAAATCAGTATGAACCTGGACAAGGTAAGTTTATTTGTCTTTCAAAAACTTTGACTTCTTTACCAGGTTTAAACCACAATGGAAGGTAGGTAACTAAGCACCACAAAGCCGCTTGCTCACTCCCCCTCTCTGAGATAGAGGAGAAAATTGGAAAGATGAAAGGGAGAATACTCATGGGTTGAGAGCAAGACAGTTTAGTAGGTTAAAAAAAAAAGGAAATAAAAGAAAAACAAATGATGTAAAAAAAGCCCAAAGAGTTACTCACTACTAGCCAATCAATGCCCAGCCAGCCCCTGAGTAGTGACATCCCTGGTAAACTTCACCATGTTTTATTGTTGATCACCATGTCATATGGTCGTACAGAATATTCCTTTGTTCAGTTTGGGTCAGTTGTCCCAGGTGTGTCCCCTCCCGGCCAACTTGCTGGCAGTGAAGTATGAGAACCGTAAAGGACCTTGATGCTGTGTAAGCACTCCTCAGAACTAGCTAGGCTATCCACGTATTTTCTACACTGTTTTCATTACAAATCCAGAGCATAGCACCATACAGGCAACTGTGGAGGAAATTAACTCCATCCCAGCCAAAGCAGTTCAATTTCACTGAAAAACAGAAAGAGTGTAGCATCTAAATGTGACATGGTGTAGGGACAGGATTTAAGCACCTACTTAGTGTGTTTCCTCTGTGACCAGAAATGCTTTGAATCAAAACTAAAGTCTTAATATTGGTTTCTGAACCTGGAGGCTTGTTTTTAGAAGTGAAGTTTTTGATACTACTGTTAAAGAAAAGGATGATGTTTCAACGTCCAGGCCCATGACATAAAATTAACCATAAAATGCCATGGGAGTAGTCATATTTTTTTTTTTAGTCAAGTGCATTTTTTCACTCCAAACTTGTTTTTCTCCCTGTAATGTGCATACACTCTCCAGGAAGTGGCTCTTGCTGTTATTAAGTATGATACAATGTGAGTATATGTGATATATGGGCTCTTAAGTATGATGCAAGCTGTGTTCCTGTACCTTAGAAATAAGGAATTACTCTATTTCTGTAACCTTTTCCAAACTGGAGACATCTGAAGAGAAATATGCTTCTAATCTCACCTCTAGGGAATAAATCACATGCTGTGCTTTTTGCTAAACTCAGTCGTCAAGGCAAAGTATCTGGCATGCTTTCTAGATTGAATATCTCATTTGTCCTTAGGAAGAAAGGACAATGGCTTTACTCTCAGAATTAATGTCTGCCAGCCATTACAGTGTCTGCCTGACAAGGGTCCAAAAAGCTGATCCTATTTGTTTGTGTATCTGACAGTCTGTTAAATTGAAACAGTCAAATACTTGCGCCTGGGACACCAGAGGAAATTATTTAGAATTGTAGATTTCTGTCAGAGATAGAAGCAGTTTTTTTAAAAACAAACAAATAAAAAACCAAGCCCAAAACAAAATACCCTTTCTTAAGTGCAGTTTGTTAGGATATGAATGAGCACAGAGTGCAGTCAGATTAATACTTTCAGTATTTTTGTTCTGAGACATATTTTCACTGGAAATTTTAGAAAGTGACTCATGGCTTTGGATGTTTAAGCTGTAGGGGCCACACATAAGACACATTAAATAAATTCCTTTATGAGGATACTTTTTCCATGCAGGATCCTAATAACATTTCAAGTTGTAGATTTATACTTGGGTGTTACCATATACTTTTGAATGCTTACAGAATTGTCAGCGTAGAAATCATTCAGTCCAACCTCCCTGCTTTGGCAGGGTCACCTGGAGCAGGTGACAAAGGAGTGTGTCCAAGTCGGTTTTGAACGTTTCCAGAGAGGAAGATTCCATGACTTTCCTAGGCTGTTTGTTCCAGTGCTCTGCCACCCTCAGTGTAAAGAAGTTCTTCCTCATGTTGAAGTGAAACTCCTTGTGTTTTAGTTTATGGCCATTGCTCCTCATGCTGTCACTGGGCACCACCAAAAAGAGTCTGGCACCATCCTGTTGGCACCTACCTTTGAGATATTTATATCCATTGATGAGACCCCCTTTCAGTCTTCTGTTCTCTGGACTGAACAGGCCCAGCTCCTGCAGTCTCTCCTCATAAGACAGATGCTCCAGTCCATTAATCATCCTTGTGGTCCTCCATTGGACCCTCTCCAGTAGCTTCTTGTCTTCCTTGTTCTGAGGAGCCCAGAACTGGACACAAAACTCCAGATGTGGCCTCACTAGGGCCAAGCAGAGGGGGAGGATCACCTCCCTCAGTCTGCTGGCCACACTCTTCCCGATGCACCCCAGGATACTACTGGCCCTCCTTGCCGCAGTGACACACTGCTGGCTTAGGAGACTCATTCTATGTGCTGGATGTATGGAGTTTAACCAGCAGGTACGTAAATTAGTGTGTACTTGCTTGAGCTGTGTGAGTGACAATGCAGAGAGCTGTCCATGTTCTGCTGCACAGTGAGGCACACAGACTGCAGCGTGCATCTGAAGGCAGAGCCTCAGTGCTTTATACTGAGGCAAAGTTATGAGCTGTAACAAATGGGTATCTGTCCTTGGTTTTCAAGTCCCACTGATTTTCTGTTGGATTAAATGCTGACCTCATAAAAAATTTGTATGGCTTTCACTGAAACTAATGGAATTCAGAATATTTACATCTGGAAGTAAAATCTGGCATGTAATAAGGATACTTTATAGAGGTGACTGAAAAAACTGTTTTCAACTCAGGAATTCTTTAGTGTCCTAAATGGACATTGGTAGAGTTTTCAATAAACAAAACTGTTTTGGTTTGCAAACAGGAAATCACTCTATGTGTCTGAGCCTGCTATGGAGTCAGAGGAAGGTGTAGTTGCAGTTCTCCCAAGCTGTCTGCTGGCCTTGCGCCACTGCTGAGTGCTGTTCCCCACCATGTGGTTAGATTTTGCTGTGGCACATACACTGCTGTTTCAGTACTTGATGCTAAAATGTGTAGCACAAGCTGCAGGACTTGGCAGTTTCTTTCCAAATAGAAGATTTGAAATTAAACAACAACAACCCCCCCAAAAAAAATTTACTGTACCTTTGGCACTTCTCATCAGTGTGTGTTTACTCATACACACACCAATAGATTTACTACCCAGGGGTTAGCCTAGCAATGATACGTGCTCTGCCAGGAACTGCAAAGCAAAGGTAGGGCTTTACCCTGACAGTGCCTGCCTTTGTGGTAGTAGGTCCTAATTCCGAATCTGAGATGCTTTACCCAATCATTTGCTTAGCAAATAGAGGGATTTGGGATTACTCCTCTTAGAAGAGACTGGGGTAGAAATACATAGTTGTGGATGATCTAAAACCCAAAGTTGCCAAATGTCCCATAAGTGCTACCGCTAAGGGCTAAACTGCCTACAAGGAAATCAAAATCATTTAGCTACTCCCTGCAGCAGGGAACGTGTTTGGAGTCATCAGAAGGTGAGTGAGGCCTTTGAGTGCCCTGAACTGTCTTCTATATATTTCCACTGATTATACAGGACATTTAGGTTAACTATGTCCATCTAATCTGGGTATGTAAATCAGACAGTTATTCTCAATTCTTTTGGAAGGCAATTCCGTTGTTTTATGGTAACTTTTGTTTGTTCAACCAAACGTCTCAGTTTTCCATATGGACATCCGTAGAAATAGAGCTTCCTAGCAGAGATGGCACTCTATTACTGTTGTTGTTGTTATTACTATACTGTTACTTTTGTTTTTTTCTTGTACAGGAATTCCTCCTCATATTGATACACATTCTGCTTTTGAGGATGAAATAATCTCTCTCAGTTTAGGAGCTGAGGTAAACTTAATGTTTGCATGTGGTTTGATGCTTTACTGAGAAGTTTCATTTTTATATTTTTTAATACTAGTTAATTTGATTTTCCATAGTATCTGTTCACATTCACCCAAGTTTAATATCAAGTATGTAAGGTAATTGTGATATGCTATTTAAATAGGTAACTGCAGTTCAGTGTTGTCAGTGGAAGATTTGCCAGTGATATCAGTGACTTTTAAATCACTATTTTTAAATTTTAGCATCCAGTTCTCCATTGACCTTCCTTCATTTTGTTTTCATCTTAGAAAACATATCACTCCTATTTATGTTCTACTTCCATTTTCCGCTGTGTGATCCCCTGTTCTCTCTGGTCTTTGTAAGCCTCTCATTATTATTGTATTCCATACATTTACAGTAGGCTAATGCAGATGTTTGACCTGTACAAGATCCAGTCAAAGTCTGAGCCCTGCTGAGCTGGTCATGATGAGGGCAGAGGTAGGCTCTAATTCCATGAGCGCCAAATATTCGTAGATAATGTAGACAAAGTGTGGAAAGGAAAATGGAAGAACACTGAACTAGCACCTGTACCTGTCTTACAGGTAGTGTTCTCCTGTTACAAACCAACAACTTTGATTATTGCTTTGTATTACTCTTTAGGCAGAGAGAGAAACATGAATGGATATTCTGAGCACTGACACTTTTTGAATCTTTAGTCTGGTCTTTGGCATTGACTTACTAGTTTCTTGCAAGTTGTGTAGTGGATGTGGAGCTCCTGGGACTAGGGGTGAGTCTAAGGAAGGATAGCTTTCTCAGTACCCTGTGTGTCACTGGCACATCTGTGCTGTTGGTCACTTGAAAATGGGGTGTCAGTGTTGCCAGTTCTCTCAGTTTGGCTGGGGGTGTATTTATCCATCATTCACAAAAGCATCCACTCTAGAGTAGGAACATCATGGATTAGTTGTGAGGGTGGTATGCGCAGTGGCAGTAAAGTTCTCAGTACTTTTGTTTTGGAATCTCTCAGTCTGGGGGAACTTCCTCATGTGGCTTCTGTGCCTACCCTTGTCTCAGAGGTAGTACATTCTCCTCAGTTCAACAGTCATGTTGTCTTTAACAGTGCCAACACCTCTGTGCTAGGTGGCACATGTGAACATCCATTTCTTTCATGGAGTTTCTCTAGGAGAAGGGTTGTAATTAATCTTCTGTGCAGTTTATCCATCCTAAGTTTAATTTTTCTAAAGTATGCTGAGCATCCAGAGCAGCACAGCAACAGTAGATGACCCCAATTTACAGCTGTTCCTATTTTGAACTTGTAAATAAAAGTTACTTTATTTACTTTATAAGAGCTATATTAGTATTCTGCCTCAATCCAGAGCCCCAGTCTTTCTGATCCTTTCCATTTCACTTAGAAGGCTGAAGCTGGCACAGATACTCTGTTACTGCATTGATGTAACATCATAGGCAGTGCATTTCTAGATTATTGCATTACAGCATACCTTTGTGATGCTCTCAGAGATGGCCAAAACCAGAGTGATTTTAATCATGGGAAAATACAAACCCTTCCAGGAAGGGGACTGCCTGGAGCATTATGATGCTGTAAAAGGTTGGAATGTGTACATTTCAACCACCGAGACAGCCAAACTTGGGCCATTTCTACATATTTCAGACATAAGCATTGGATTACAGCCTATTAGGTGTCTCCCAAGTTTCAATGCCTTTTCCTAATGGGCCATAAACGCACTTTTCAGGTGCAGACTATCTAAGCACAGATGTAGTAAAACAAGCTAGTGGCCCATGAAATGCTGCATAATTTAATGACTTTCCTTTCTAGTACTTTTACAACTTTTTATGATTTCTTTATGTGTTTTTCTGCACTTAGCTCTTCATCTGATTTTAAAATGAAAATATCAGTTGCAGTAATGTGTGAGTTAGCTATTTTAGGAGTAAAGTTCCCTTCTCTATTCCCATTGAAGCTTCCCATGTACAAAATTTATGCGCTCTGTTAATAAATAATTGGAGCTGTATATACAGCATCAACCTTTGGTGTCTTTTTGTTCTTCTCTCTGTAGGATGACTGGTTTCTTTTCTACCTGAATAAACCAGGCTGTGTTTTAGTGTAAAGCATACATAAAGTCATGTGTCTTTTTCCTTCTTTGTTGTTCTCAACAGTAAATGCATAGGTTTAAATAAAAAGTGCCATAAGGAAATAACCTTGCAACCCAACTCATTTTACATTCTATTTTGGAAGTAGGCTAACCAGACACTTTGGAGGGAAAAAAATGAAGCAGAATGCCTCACTATACTAAGTCATGGAAAAAGCATTTCCGTCAATTGCTTGTATGCTTGTCCCTCCAGCATCTGAGTTAGGCAGATTGTGGTAATTAGTAACTAAAATAAATGCTCTGGCTTATGAAAGAGAAGTCTGTGGTAAAGCAGGGGACTAAACACAAAGACCTTCCTAGCCTGGTGACTTAGTTATCAGCACACATTCTCAGAATTCTTATATCATCTTCACAGGACCACAGAATTGTTTAGGTTGCAAGCGACCTCTTGAGGTCATCTAGTCCAAGTCCCTGCTCAAACAGGGTCAAGTGAAAGAGGTTGTCCAAGACTGTCCATTTGTGTTTTGAATATCTCTGCAGATGGAGACTCCAGAACTTTTGTGGGCAACCCATTCTGGTGTTTGACCTCTATCACAGTGAAAAAACAGACTCTTTCTTTGTGTTCTGAAGGAATGACATGGGTTTTAAATTGTGCCCATCATTTCTTGTCCTGTTGGTGGACACTTCTAGGAAGAATCTGTCTCCCTCTTCTTCATTCCCTCATATCGGTTATTTACACATATTAATAAGAGCTATCTTATCTGAGCCTGAGCCTTCTCTTCTCCAGGTTAATCTGTCCCAGCTCTCTCAGCATCACCTTATATAAAGATACTCCTTAATCATCTTCGTGACCCTGTCCTGGACTTGCTCCAATAGGCCCATAGCTTTCTTGTAATGGGAATCCCAGTCCAATTCCAGTACTGGTCAGAGTACACTAGATACATCCTCACCAGGGCTGCGTAGAGAGGAAGAATCGCATCCTTTGACCTGCTGACAGTGCTTTTATTAATATAACCCTGGAGGCTGTTGGCCTTGTTTTCTGCAAATGTACATTGGTGGCTCATGTTCAACTTCTTGTCCGCCAGGATGCCAGGCAAAGCTGCTTTCTAGCTGATCAGCTGCCAGCATGTAGCAATACAGGGGGTTATTCCTGACCAGGTGCAGGGCTTCACTCTTCCCTTTGTCAAGCTTTCTGAGGTTCCTATTGGCAACAGTTCTCCAGCCTGTCCAGGTCCCTCTGAATGATGACACAACCATCTAGTGTATCAGCCACTCCTCCTGGTTTTATCTCATCTGCACACTTGCTGAGTGTACACTCTGCCCCATCATCCAGGTCATTAATGAAGATGTTGAACAGTGTTAGTCCCAGCGTCGGTCCCTAGGGCACTCCGCCAGTGACATGTCTACAACTGCGCTTTGTGCCACTGCCATCTTCGGTGATACCTTGCAACCTAACTCACATTATTGAGAATCAGTCTTTTCCTCAGTGGTGAATGAGTTTATCCTGTAACAAAGCAGCGTGTGCTATTTTGCTAGAGGAATTACTGTAAGTTTAATTTGTTTTTGCAAGCCTGATTTATGTTGAAAAAGAATAGTTATTGGCATGCATGTTCATTTTAAATACAAACAAAAAGTCTTGAGAAGAAAATAAGGGCATGATTCTTCACAACACTGTATTTTTCTTGCATCAGATAACCTGTAGTAATCTGAGTTCTTACGTGTGAATGAAATGAGGCAGAAATATAGGTGTGAGATTCTCTTTCCTATCTCAGACCCATGAAACAGCTTTGTCAAGAGGCGCAATTTTGTCCTGGTTGATGCAATACATTGTGTTTTGAGTAGTTTACAAGACAGATTAAACTTGATTTGAAGGAGAAAAATCTCATTATTACTTTGTACTTCTGCCTAGCTTATAAAAACTACTAAATAGTTTGAGGGCAAAGCAGTGAGATGTGATTTGTCTTGTCCCATAATACTTCAGGAAAAGTGGGGGGTCTCACTCTAATCACTTCTATTTGTGACCCATTTCTTTGGCATCTCCTAGGAAACTGCAGAATAAAGTGAGACTTCTAGAATGTGCTGCGGGCTTGTAAAGATATTTTATAAATCACCACATTCACCTTTTCTTTATAGGAGCCAATACACTGAAAATATTAATGAATATCAGTTTCAGTACTGTGTTATTGAATGCAACTTTCTTTTATTCAAAAATTGTCATGGCAGAAAAGAAAAGGCAGTAGTGTAAATTTAGTTGAGCAATCTTTTATTAAAATAATGGCAAACCACATCTTGTATCCGTGAATTTGAACAAAGTACTGCAAAACAGGGATCAGTCCTTTCTGTTCAGAATTTATTTCAGGTAGGTGTTATTTTCAGTGCCTCCATTTGGTGTCTCTAAAGATATGTAATTTTACAGTATTTCATCTTAGAAGCCCGGCCAAGTTTGTAGCTGTCTCAAAAAAATCCTAGTTTTAAAACCTGTGTCAAATTTTCTTTTGCAGGTTTACAGCAGGTGCTTGATCAATATTGAGATTTCTGTTTTTCCACTTTTCCTAATTTGCCATGTTGCATGCTGTCATGTAAGCCTTGATACATTAAAATTTTAGAAATACAGAGGCAGTATTTCTATAATGAGCTAAGTAGTGCTATGAACATGTCCAGCCCATGAAAGAATTTTCCCTTTCTTGCTGCACATCTCAACCCCAACCAACAGCAGTCCCTCATCAGTTCTGCTTGTTCTGTCCAAGACTGCCATGGGACTCCCACTGCACCGTGGCAGAGAGCAAAGCACTGTCACAGTTTGCTTGAAGGGCATGACCCTATGGTCTATATTGTTCTGTCCCATTTTCCTCAGATCCAGTCCTGAGGTGGAAGCCCCAGGACTCCTTTGTTTCTGCTTTTCCTTGAGTGCCTTGCTATTCTTCC